CCCCGTAGAGTAGACAAAGAAGGACGGGGAGCAACTACTGCATGCATGCACTGCGCTGCATGAATGAATGCATGCATGAACATGTACAGTGAGTGAGCAGTATACAAACAGACATACATCACTCATCAATAGTGGTTATCATGATAAGTGATCGAGATAAACACTATTAATTAATTATTTTAGTTTGAGAAACTCCACCCACAGCGAGTGGCATATCAATTCGAATGTATTTTTTACGCTGAATCCAACGCCGTCAATGGTTTTGACCTCCGAGGCCCCCGTGACCTTTCCGTGACCGTGGTGTTCAAATATGGCTTATTCGTGATGTCGCATATCAATTCGAATGCATTTTTGACGCTGAATCCGAATCCGTCAATAGTTTGGCGTTAATCGTAGAAGTTAACGGGGTTTATGGAACTTAACGGGAGCGTGAAGCGTGGGAATTTAAATAGTTAGCTATGGAGTTACTCCCACGCGACGAGAATTTAAGTAATTAGCTATTCAACTACTCCCACAGGGGGAAATCAAATTGTACTGTGACCAGGTTAATTAAATGCAGGATGACTTGGGCAAACCCTCACTCTGATGTATGTATGTAGTATGACAAAGTCTCCACTGGGAATTATTTAAAGTATAGTATGACGGATTTTTCGCTTTGGGCAAACCCCCCAGAACCCGGCCTTGGCCGGGCTATACGCTAGTTTTGCGATAAAAAACGAAAGGTATAGTTTTCAGAGAAATTTTTGTTTAACCAAAAATTTGAAAAAATGCTCGATACGTGTGAAATATTTTAGTCAGGAAGGTATATGAATGAAAATTTCAATTATGTTAGGCACAGAAAGAAAATTGGCTTGAGTGTAAATCTATGTGAATTGCACAGCAATAACGCCAAATATATTTAAACTAAAGGTCCAAATGGTCAACATCTCGTCTCCAGATCGAAATTCGCCGTACACTCTTTTTTTATACTGCTATACATCTCGTTGCTTCGGAAGTACTTCTTTTTTGCGGTAAAATACCAATTGTTCTAAAATTCGGTCAAGTGGAAAACTGAAGAATGCAAATTTGCAAACTATCTATTTCTAAAAAAATCTGTTGCTTTATTACCCCATGCGGTTTTTGTAATTATAAAACTGTTGACTCTGTAATTAACTAAAAGATTCGTCAAGTACGGTGTAATCAAACAAATGCAACTGAAATTTAGTGTCAATTTTTCTCATAAACAGCATTCATGCCAACAATTTCAAAATAACCATTTTTGCAAAATCCTTCACAAATATTATTTCATCCTAATTAAAAATTCGCATATAACTAATAATAATATGCAACTTTGCAAAAAAATGTTATCAGCTGAAGATTCCAACTCGTAATGAATACCCCGAAATTCGGGGCCCGAATATCCGGTGTGCGGTCGAATTGCATAATTTTTTTGGTATAACGACAATTTGGTATAATTTGAATTGGTATAATATTGTTGGTATAATTTAAGGGAACCATTTGGTATAATGAAACTCAGGGATATTTCTAGTAGGGATAATTATATTTTAAGCTGTGTTTGGAATCCTAGAATGTATTTTTCCTTACATGAAGAGGAGACAGAAAATTATGAAAATAAAGCACGTTTAAAATATAAGCTTGTAAAAATTTCGTATAATTTCGGCTTCCTACTTCTTGGCATAGTTAGACGGCGTACTGTCTTCTTCAGAGTGATGAAAAAATTGCGAAAAATATGTCAATAAATTAAACGTAAAGGGTTACAAAATTGTTAAGTTAGATCCAAATTGTTGGAAAGCGAAAAATACAATTTCATTGTATACCTCTATTTTACAAATAAAAAGAAGAAGCTATCTCCGAACCATGGCATTTTCTCGGCCACCCGAAAATAATAATAATAATGAAACGATCCCATTGTATTGATAGCTTGACTAATCGGAACAAATCCAATTCGATTTCATTCTTGGCCGCGGCGCTGTTTGTTTTCAAACAGCGCCTTCATCCTTGTTTGCGGAACGGGCGGACTAATTACACTCCCCGCTTTCTCCTTCTTACCCTACTAAATGTGGACAGGAATTTGTGTACAATTCAATGAGTTGTAGAATTCACTAAATAATGTGGCAACAAAATTTTGACAGATTGGCAATGATTTGTCACTGTCAATTTATCTCCGCGTTAAAATTCGTAGTGAAATTCTTGGTACTACTGCTTACTCGTATAAGATTCTGTCAAACTATGACAGGGCGAATGACACATTTTACTACCAATTTGGTACCACATCAATTTATATCTTAGATTATAATCCAAGCAAATTATAAGAGAAGCTAGCAATTTATGAAATTTAAATTTAAGATTGAAGCTCAACAAAAAATTACTTTTTTATTAAATCGTTACAAGTTTTAGGAATTGGACGAAAATCTTGGATAAAATTAAAATTACCAATGCCCGAGTGAAATTTGGTATTTTAATATAAAACTGTTTATTACAACTATTTACTATGATTTAATAAATCGCACTACCACCACCGAATAAGACCCATCTAGGCTAATTCAGACAAATACCGGAGAGTCTAAAATTATTTATGTGGCGCTAAAGTTCGCGATTTGTTTTTCATTCATAATATTGAATCAAGTTGTTCTGAAAAATCAGATAGTTCGTTAATTATTCAAACTACGCATTTATCAATAGGAATTATAATATTTTAAATATTTATCACAGTTGCATACAAGTTGTGTTAATTATGTAACACAAAAAAACACGTCACTTTCCAACAATTTTTGATGTATTCATTTTTAAATATTTAAAAAATTCCCCAAAAGGCTAGACTTTAGTTAACCGTCGGTCTCCGATAGGGTTAAGTGATACGTCATTTTGTTCGTCTCGGCGAGCTGAACAAGAATATCGAAGCCAGAAGGCGCGGAAATGTCCCGTTCAAAAGTTATGGCGGGACAAAGTTTGAAATTTTTATTGCATTTTTGGACGTTTCAGAGAATTCTACGACTTTGTCTCACTTTGCCCCAAAGCGGGAAATTTTTTGGGGTATATTGAGATTTTAGGGGTAACGTGAGATTTTTAGTTTTTATTCCAGAATATTGAATTTCAATCAATTTCCGACATGGCAGGACATTTTTGGGGTAAGATGAGATTTTCGGGGTAACGTGAGATTGTGGCAAAACGTGGCAAAACGGGGGCCCTCACATGGCGACCGCGAGCGAAGCGAACCTGGAAAATGCGAAAGCGGGAGCCCCGCACTGGTAGTAATTATGTCGAATATTGGGGTATTGTTCGTATTTTAGCGAGCGAAGCGAGCAGGTTAGGTTAGATTGAATACGCGGAAAGTGCTACCTAGGAGAGCTACCTAAAAGTGTTACCTAGAAGAGCTACCTAGAAGAGCTACCTAGAAGTGCTACCTGGGATAGCTATCTAGAAGTGCTACCTAGACGTGCTGCCTAGAAGTGCTACCTAGAAGTGCTACCTAGAAGAGCTACCTAGCAGTGCTACCTAGAAGAGCTACCTAGAAGTGCTACTTAGAAGAGCTACCTAGAAGAGCTACCTAGAAGTGCTACCTAGAAGAGCTACCTAGAAGTGCTACCTAGAAGTGCTACCTAGAAGTGCTACCTAGAAGAGCTACATAAAAGTGCTACCTAGAAGAGCTACCTAGCAGTGCTACCTAGAAGAGCTACCTAGAAGTGCTACCTAGAAGAGCTACCTAGAAGTGCTACCTGGGATAGCTATCTAGAAGTGCTACCTAGACGTGCTGCCTAGAATTGGGGAATTGGATAGGAAATAACCCCAAAAGTCTCAAAGTACCCCGAAACCCCTCCCGCCGTGCCGTAAAATGATTGTAATTCAATATTCTGGAATAAAAACTAAAAATCTCACCTTACCCCAAAATCTCAATATACCCCAAAAAATTTCCCGCTTTGGGGCAAAGTGAGACAAAGTCGTAGAATTCTCTGAAACGTCCAAAAATGCAATAAAAATTTCAAACTTTGACCCGCCATAACTTTTGAACGGAGCGTTTCCGCGCATTCGGGTTTCGATATTCTTGTTCAGCTCGTCGAACTGAACAAAATGACGTATCACTTAACCCTATCGGAGACCGACGGTTAACTAAATTTTTTCCCCCCAAAATTCACTGTGACAATTTTTCCTCCTGCTCTTGACTTATCTTTGATTTGAACCGGTAATAAACGTTCTTACTTACCATTGAGACCTTGAGAATACCAATCTTTCACATAAATTAAAATGTCTGTGATAACTTCTTTATATTTTGACGTCCAACTTTCCCAGACATTTTCAATTTATGAAAATTTAGTAAAAATGCGAAGAAATTCTTCAAGTCAAAGTGGCATTGCTACTGTTAATCTTGGTTTATAGAGTCGAGATAATTTAACTAAACGTTGCAAAAGTTTAAAAACAGTTAGGTCACTAAAAAATAAAATTTAAAATTAAGTCTAAGTCTAACCGTAAATTTATTTCTTCTTAACTTTACAAATTAATATTATACGAATTACGGACTTTACAAACATCCGAGCTAATTGTTTCAATTGATTGTAGAGTGGTATAAAGAGTACAGAGAATTGTATGAACTGAACGAAATGTTTGCCAAACTTCAAGTGAATTATAATTATTGTATTACTCCAACTTTTAACTTTTATCGTGATAATTAAGTCCATAAAAATTTTGCGAAACGTAAGGAAAGGAGCTACGACCTTTTTTGTATAAATACGTATTTGGTCACAAGTAATTTTTATTTTGGCGTCCATCTTTGCCAAATGTTTGAATACTTTAAAATTGTCGTTGTACATACATAAATGAAAATTTTAATACGTAAAAAGTAAGCTAGGATCAAACATAAAAAAATTGAAGTGTATTTTGTACCCGGTTTTTAAATCGTAAAACAGTTCAAAATTCATTTTAAATTAAGAATGTAAGGTGCGACAAAATGATAATTAAAAAAATAAAATTTGAATTCTTTCTAAATTACAGGTGATTCCCGACGGGATGCCCGTTACCCGATCGTGCTTGTGATTCACGGTGAGGGTTGGGAGTGGGGGAGTGGCAACGAATTTGATGGGGCCGCCCTCGCCAGCCTCGGAAATCATATCGTCGTCACCTTCAATTACAGGTCAGAGTTGCGCGAAGGGTGAGATTCAAAGGCGCGTAATATTATTTGTGTATGTAACAACTAACTAAATATTTTATATGGATTTAATTTCCAGGTTGGGACCTTTAGGTGAGTAGCGAAATTATTTGAATTTTTATCCATCCTCATTTATCACATATTTCATGCGGTTCATGATTAATTACGGAAAATTGTACTATTTTCGAGGTAAAGTTTCTTACATTTTAATTCACGTGGTAGAAAATTTGTTACGGGGGAGTTACATCAAGTCCTGAATTTGTACAAGAAATTCTACTAATTGTTTTTAAGAAAAACGTAGAATTGATCAAAGTGACGTATTGTGATTCATTAATTCTAGTCATAAAAGTCAGCTGTATATAATTTTTTAGCGTTCGAGTTGTTAATAATTTTATCGAAGGACGTTATCCTTTTACGAATTTACGTGAACTACGAAGAAGTTATTTCTTTTGGCACTATTCTTGTACACATTTGGCAAATGTACGTATAAAAATTGTTGCATGAAATTCCTCAGCATTTGATGCACATCTATATTATAGCTGGAAATGTTTGTCTGCAACGGAAGCAAAATAATTTTCCGTGACGGAAGTGAAAGTAGAGAAAGCAATAATATTAATTGGAATTTTAACATCAAATTCACTCTCGCCCTGCGGGAGACGGGCTTATACGCTAGTTAGAAATATTCCTGGTCTGGTAGATGACTGTACTATTTTCTATCCATACACTATTGTAAACCTGGTAGAGTCATATATTTACTCGTATTAACTTGCTACTGGATTGGGGGTAGTTTGTGTCTGCATGGTAAATTTTTCAGTACCACAAAATTACTAAACAGTAATGCCGGTTATTACCAGTGCCGGAAGGCACATCTACATTTGTACTTCGGTCGGGCAGTAATGATTTGAAAACAGTTTTATTAAAAGTGTAAACTCTTAATTACAAGTAAGAAAAAAACTTGATTTATGTGAAACAAATGTGAATCTAAACCAAAATACCGTCCATGAAACATATGCTGGTTAGTGATGCAAAATGAAACAATCCCTAAACAGGAATGCAAAAAAGTGGCATATACAATTACGTCTTAGGTTGCATTACATAATAAGAAAATTACATAACATGGCCAACTTTCCCTGCGATGAATGAAATGTAATATGAGACCGGAAAACGAGGAATATACATCTGTCCACCCACTTCACAAAGTTTTCACTCTTAATAATTTCACTAAAGATTTTGTTTGTCAATACGAAAATCCAGTAAAAATAATTGTTTAGTTAAACGCCCTTATGAAAAAATATGAAAATTGTAATTCGATTTCAAAAATGCAGATACAGATTGTTTAGTACAATCTAATTTTAGTTTATGCTAATATAGCCTCTCCAAACGTTTTGAATAATGAAAACCTGGATTTTGTAATAGTATCAGTTATACGTTTTTTTAAATTAGGAAATCTATGGAGAACAAGTATTAAGAAATATTACTGACTTGACATAAAACATAAGATTTCTTAATCGAAATAATTTTATTGTGAAATGAACAGATAAATAGTCGAACTGGGAAAGACTGAGTATCTAACGGATAACAAATTATTATTATTTTCTTTTTAAATACCAAAAAGAAAGCTGGTAAATAAAAAAGAGTACCAAATATACCTAACTATATAAGTTCTACTTATTACCGGACGGATGAAGTTTGTCACCGAGTTTAATAGAGTGCACTACATATAACCAGCTCGACAGCCATGCACCTCATAAGTTTTTCGTCAGAAAAGGTCTCCCAGAACTGGGCCAACTCTTGACAAGAGTCACTTTTCGTAAAAGAGAAAGCAATTATCATCACATAATGTTCTGTGGCGTGACTTTCACCTGGAAAGTTAATCAACGTCGTCCCCAGACCTGAACCTAGCCTCATTAAAAAAAATTACTATTCGACCAATATAATAAATAAAATGTGTGATCTATTTTATAGCAGGCTGGTTACAATCTTAGTCACAACAAGCACCATCCGGGCAGGGAATTTTCTAAAAATGTACTTATTTATTTTTAAATTAAATTTTACATCCAAAATACTTACACGCATTAAAAATACGCATTAAATATTAGAATAATGTACTCGTTTCTATTTTCATGGCTAAATTTTGTCTATAAAGTCAACGCATTGTTCAAAATTAAATTCAAAGTGTTGAATTTATTTTAAAATTAAATATATTTAATATTTATTTATATTTATAATATATAATTTTATATTTATATTTTATATTTATAAGAAAGGAGAGAAAGGAGAGAAAGGGCATTTTATATTTTATATTTTATATTTTATATTTTATATTTATAATTTTTATTTATTTATTTATTTATATTTATATTTAATATATACGCCGTTTTGTGCAAATCAGTAATTTTATAGTTAGGTTATGTTAGCAAGATGGGTCGTTCAAGGAATCCAGATGACTGACAGACGAGTTTTTTCGAAATTATAAGAATTTCAATTGGAATTTTTTGATCGCCCACCACCACCAATCACGTAGGTCATTGCTAACATGGGACTAAAAACTGCAGAGAAATATTGCAATTTTTCGCAATTAATCATGAACAAGCAAAAATCTGTTAATTTTTATGATTCCTACTCCAATTTTGTGCAGTTTTTTTAAAACGAGTAACCAGCAGTCGAACTTTGGTCTGTTAGACGTAGGAATAATGATAAATTAGATCAGTCTTGTATTTCCAGTGATATGATCAACAACGCCATGAATTTCATTTATTTGAAAATGAGATTGCTTTAAGATACAATTTTGTTGAATTTTTCTCGGATTAAAATTGTTTTCGAATGATTCATTTCAAACTCACAACAAAATATATGGTTTTATAATTTGTTCCATCTTTTACATAGCGCACTTTAAATTTCAGAAAGTTTATAAACTCAGGAAAATGTAATTTATACTTGAAATTTGTAAAATTTTTCTGAGAATCAAAATTTGCAATCTTATTACACGCCGAAATTAAATATTATTTTTTTAAAATTTTTGTGCGTGTTTTTCACACCATACTTTGAATTTCTAAAACTTTATATATACTTTAATAGATTAGATTTGGCAGACGTCGTCGAAAAGAAATTATTTGTTTTTTTTTTACTTTGGAAATAGGTGATTAACACTGGAAGGAAATTTGCAATTTTTGAAAATACAAATATGTAATTTTTCATACCGGAAGTATTTACTTTTTCTGATGATTTCCGACATTTTAATAAACTTCAGTAAACAGTAAACAGTAAATTTCTGAAATATTTTATGCGTTTTATGAAGTAGATTTTCTTCTCAAAATTATTTTTATATTTTGTGACACATAATTCCAGGTAGGAATTTATAATTTATAATAACCTACAAGGTAGTGATACGGGTAAAAAGTTAATTATAACCCATATTTCTTATGATTTTGAAACTCAAGGTATGTTTTTCACACTAAAATCATAATATTCGAATTATTTAGAATTCTAAACAATAATCTAATCTTGATTTAATCCAGAGTTATGACTTTTGTAAGATCGCGACATAAATACAGTTTGGAACTTGATAGCTTTTTTTCGTTCTTGTGAAATGCAAAATGCCGCATTTTTTAAACTCCAAAAATGCATACTTAATACGTCACAATTTAAATTTTTGAATTTGTTGTACATAATTAAAATTTTAGATGTGATTAGTTTGTTCGTGGAATTATACTTTCTCAAATTTTTTGTTGAAAAACACAACTTCATCTTGGAAATTAAAATTTTTAAGTGAAACTTTGTAGATATTTCTCAGAAAAAAAGTTGTTTCGAAAAACTTTGCTAAAATGTTTCTGTCATTTGCAGCGTCTGGGAACCATGGAGGGTGACATTGTGCCTTACGTGATGGGACTCCCGGTGACGAACAATATACCCGCGCAGGGCCTCAACCAGCATGTTTCGCCCTTCGCCGCCCTCGCAAACTTCTCCAAGCAGGATGCCTTCGTGGCAGAAATGTTTCTTCATTATGTCGCCAACTTTGTAAAAAGTGGGTAAGTTGAGAGAATCGTGGTGGATTTTTTTTGGGGGTAGGAAATGTTAAAGAATGGGTGAGCTTTCTACGAAAAGGCGAATTTGCATAATATTTAAAATAATTACGTAATAAATATAAAGAGGGTACTCACGATATAACGTTTACAGCGAATCTCAAACGTTGAACATATCTAAATTACTTTTGAAGGTTTGCGAAGTTTGCGTGATTTCGATAAGAATTTTGGTGCAAGACTAATAATTTTGGGAGTTACGAAAGTATCGACCCAAATAGGATATGGATTTTTTTATTTTATGAAGATTATTTCGCAAAATGTTTGTATAATGCGGCACAAAATTAGAAATTGTGGCGAGTACGCCGTACGCACAATATTTACTGTGGAAAAACTTCATAGTTCAACGCCGAAACAAAAATATTTTGCAATTTGAATATTAATTTGTAATGTCAGATTAATGTGGTAGTATAGATATCTGTATGCATTTACATTCAAAAGGATATTTTTTTAAACTTTCAAAATAGAAAATTTTATTTGGAAAAGTTTTGCCAGTTACTTTTAAGTTTACGAGTTACTAATTTACCTCGTGAGCATAGAGTTCGATAAAATTTGTGAACACAAACAAATTTTGTATTTTTATTGCCAATTGTTGAGGGAAGTGAACACCGGAAATAGTTTTTTGGGGAAGTTCAAATATAACGAATTATACGATAGATATTTCTCCATTCCATTGCATTTCCATTTGTGTATGAAACATGTCACTTTTTGTAATTAATTTTTTGTCATCAGTTACACCGAGGGGTCAAAATTTCAAAATTCATGAAGAAATAGATCACAAGTTTTATGTATGCAAGTTCCAAAACTGTAGGAAAGTGAACTTTTCTCAAGAGACACGATGTCTAATAAAAAAAAATGTAACATACACGTCGATTGACATGACTTTTTCCGACCGGAAGTGGGCTCGTGCCCTTGTTATCGCGTCAAGAAGATATGATTACAGAGAAGAAGGGAAACTTTTGCCGGGGAAAGTCCTTTCTCAAACCATCAATAAATCCGTCATGTGTTACACTCACGGAGAAAACACTTTATTCTCGACGTTGTAGTTCCTTCCTTGCCGGTCTCAACCATTGGAGAGTCAATGCAAAAAAGTGGTGAATGATGCTCTTAAAAATGTAAGGTAAATTATTTGATAAGTACAGTGACAAAAAATCAACAAAAAACAAAAAAAATTCTACCTATTTAAAGGGACTAGAAATTAAATTTGAATTTTTTAACCCCGCAAAAATTTCAACTTTTATACATAAATTATTTTACAAGCCTATTTTTTGAATAAATTTATAATGTAATTTAAAAAAGAATTAAATATTTCTGTAATTCGTGAAGCACTACGGAATTAATTAGTTAGTTAAACTGATTTAGAATTGTTCATTTGATCCATAGTATTTTTGGACTTCAGAAGAGTTTACGAGGCAATCAAGTCCAATTGTCAGGAAACATTTTATATATTTAAATTCTGAATTTGCTAACGTCGGAAGATATTATTTTGAGATGTTGAGACCACTATGTGACTAAAGATTGTATCTCGATGCTTTTTGGTTACTGATATTTGATTGTATTGATTTGTTTAAGAGTGTCCATCCTACCGAGTCGTCATTTTGTGTATCGGACCATTTTCCGTGTGCCGTCCAGATCAGGAAATTTCTGTTTGCTTCTATTTTACTTTACTTTCCCACTTTTTTCATATATTTTTTACAAAAAAAACTTTTTTGAAGGCATCAAACTGATGAATTACTTCCAAGATGGATGTTTAGATACCGGGGAAAAAGTTGTTTTCATACTTTCACTTTGCGTTTCTGTTCGTAGTTTTTTTTAAGTTTGTGAAAAAATTCATGTTTTTGCATTCTGCATTAAAAATTTACAAAATTTAAATACGTATTTTCACAATGAAAATATTATGGTAACAGGGTTGTAACCAAGGAGCCACGGACCATTATTACACCGTAATAACAAAACGGTACATACATTATCCACGAAATTAAAATTTATCTCTATTTCAAAACATAATCACGTCAAGTTCCAGGTTACATATGTAAGCTTGAAAACTAACGTTTATAAATTATTTGCCAACAAAATGTGTGATAATCTATTTTTTGCTAGATATTTCTGCTTTTAATACTAATTTTATAGTTCTTTCCCAGCAAGTTTAATATTACAAACTTGAAATTTAAATTATTTATTTGTGTCAGATTTTTAACGTTAAGTTCCAAAATGTAAATTTCAAACAACTTTTCTGAATGATTTGCCAGCAATATTTCCAATAAAGTATACGATAGCATAATTTTTTGCTTGTTTTACATACCGGAATTGTAAATTTCTGAAATAGTAGATATTAGGGGTTACAAAATTTAGATGACAAGTGTCCATTCGTGAAATTAATTTCGTTACAATTGTTTTGTAGAACAGACAAATTTAATATTTTAATCTACAATAAGCCTCACGTTAGAATTATTTATTTTGTGCCAGTCTTTTTATAATTCGTATTTTTTTTGCAAATTTGACCAGCCCTCGATTTTTAAATTGCATTTCTATATCGAAATAATCGACTCTCTAATTTATTGTAATTCTTTAACACCGCAAATTTATAATTTCTATAATCTAAATATAAGTCAAAGCTGTATTTAGATGCATTGCCACACTGACAATAAATTAATCTTCGAAACACCTGTTGCTTTCATACATACATTAATCGAGTGGAAAATAATTGTCACCGTTTTTGGTGCTAAATCTTTACCAATACTTCGTCACAACTGTATTCTCATATTATTCGCAGTGCATCAAATTCTCATTATTATTGACAAGTTGCGCCCACCCGAGGGAGTCGGGAGAAAGTTTGGGCGAAATATTTACCGAAAAATTACTGTTGAGATGAAAGTAGGGATGAAGCTTGAATAATTATGCTCACTCAACGGTTATAGTACTGCCACGACCTTGTGTAACTAATCGCTAAAAAATTTTTGAAATATTTCAACGTCATTTCGACTTTTAATTTGAAAATGCACACGACAAGAAGTAAGTAATAGGTTAGCTCGAAGGTAACTCAAATTTATTTGAAATGTATATTTTCTAAAGTTCAAGAATTTTGAAAACTTCGAAACTCTCAATTGTCTCGTCTTTTTTTAGTCTGAATTGAAACGGGGAAAGTAAGAAATAGGACACTTGCTCTTCTTTAGGGTTTCTTAAAATCGTGATTTTAACTTTTTATTTGAAATCGATTTTGTCAGTAGCATTAGGTAGTTGTTTTCGAATTTTTCTAAACACAGGCGAATATTTACTGTCAAATTCTGTCTGGAATTATTATAACGATACAGTTATAAATAGGTCTGCCATGATCTTATGTAACTAATTGTGAAAAAATTTCGAAATATTTTAACGTCAATTCGAGTTTTAATTAAATGATGCAGATAATAGAGTAAATGGTAGGTTGAATGATCCCGTTATCTATGAGACGAATTTATTTGTGAAAAGTATATTTTCAAAAGTTCAAGAATTCTGAAAATTTCGAAACTCTATTTATTCTGCTCTCACTCATGCCCATTCTGCAATTTCCTTTGAAATTTGATTCTCTGTTTTTCTTTGTGCTACGTGCCAAACCCTGGTTTTCTATATTTGGTAATTCTTCTCAAGGATGCTCCAGATGCGGATCGGATGCATTGAGTGAGTTTATTTTAGAGAGATTGTATCCCAATTCGACGATGGTGGTGGAATAGTGACACGTTTACGTTCTGAGGTCAGTCTAGTTAGTTTAGTGTCTGAGGTTAGTTTAGTGTCAACGTGGGTCCTTCTCTCGGAACTAAATTGGGACGAAATTTGACCTCCTATTTACTTTCACCTTGCAGTAAATTAGATCACGTTAGTGGAATGAGGAGGCTTCCGTGATGTGCCCGTTTTTTCATTCATTTCCTATTTTTGTCTTGATTGCTTTCATCTGGTGAAAGAAGGCAGATACTTTTTTAGGTGAAGAAAGCCACCTCTAAATTTATAAATACATTAAATTCGTGACAAAAACAAGACTGTAATTTAATTAATTTCTAACTGATCTAATGTTTACTTGGTGAAATTGCAGTTTTGTGAAATTTTGCAAACTTTTTCTAAATGTTTAAATTCCTCATTTGTTGAGCTTCTAGCAACTTGTATGACATATGTAGTTGCGGAAGGAGAAAGCTGTCGTAACTTGAGTAAAGATTATGTAAAATTTTTAAATACTTGTTCAATTTTTTGTAAACCTTTTAAAACTCGAAAACTTCACATAATAAAACTGATAAAATCAACATTTATTTTCACTGTTATGAATTTGTGACACAAATTGTGTCCTATGGATAAAAACTATTTCAGGTTTCAAAAACTGACCAACAATGGACAAACTTTCTCTTCTTGATTTTTTCAGGCGCATTGATTCGAACGAGGTTGAAGTGGAAATTCGTGGCGGTGGTGGCGAATCGGTCGTCCCGCTCTCCTCCTCCCCTGGAATGACCGGCACGACCGAGTACGACTTCACCACCGCGCTCACCGTCACCATCACCGTCGGCGTCGCTCTCATCGCGCTCAATTTGGTGGTATTCTCGGCCATCATGTGTCACCGGAAGAGGGCCATCCCCACCAACAACGAGGGCGACAGGGGAAGCCGTGATAGTGACGAGGTCGACGAGAGTGGGAGGAGTTCGGGGGGTGGGACACCTCAAAAAGGAGGAGTCGCCCAGTATCAGCAAGCTCAGGTGAGGTTTTGTTGTAATACACGATAAATAATTTGGTAATCAAATTGATAGTTTAACGAGTTAGGAACCTTGGCAAAAGGTTGTGTTACCGAACGGTGACAATAATTGTGTCAAATTTGCTAAGTTCCTTTACTTTTTTGTGGAGACAAATTTACGAATATGAATTAAGTCGATTAATTCGTTAATCAGAGGGTAGCAAATTGTTACCAAAAATACGGTATGTACTTATTCTCGATCAGATTTTTATTACCCCGAAAAGAATAGTCCACCCAGTTTGTAACGATTTGGTACCAATGATTATGCACAAAATTTAAACTGCAACCTTAATTCGAGCTTGGTAATTAAGATGCAAGTTGAATTTAGTGCCCTTTTATTATCACCACTCGGTAACATACTTGTTACCACCACCAGCAGAGCCAATCTTGGTCCCACATTATTCAGGGTACACCCATCCTTACTTAAGCAGAAGAAATTGTTGGTGTGATTTATGCCGGGGCTAAAGTGCGGGTGTCATTAAGGACGGCGGAGGAAGTGAGAGTAGGCGAAGGTCTTCGTGGCAGGAAAAGTACAATCAATTAAAGGCACATTAAAAGCGAAAAAAGAAAATGTCAGCGACTTCGATAAAGAGAGCCTTTCCTTATTTTTTGCTGGGTTTACGTTTTATTTATAGTTTCCCAACGTGGGTGGCGGGGTCACGATTACATAAGATGAGATCCTTCTATTTTTGCAGCCAATCATGATTTTGCTCATATAGTGATTAGGAGAAAGCATAAAGAGCAAAAGTTACTAGGTGGAGAAAGTGGGTACATTTAAGAAGGAGAAAGTATTTTATGTAGTACAAATTTATAAAAAACAATAACTTCGTAAACAAAAAATTACACACAATTTCACAAAAAACAGATCATTTATAAAATATGAGAAACCTAAATTTAAACAAACACTAGATTTTTTTGTAAAAATTCCAGACCAGTAATTTTCTACAATTTCTTTTAAAAATAGAGTGATTAATTCCGAGAAAGTCTTGCAAGTCCCAAAAATTATGTATTACTTTCACGTTACGTCGCTCTCACTTTCTCTCCTTTCTACACGAGTCTAAAATTTCCCACATTTCAGGAAGATTACAAGTGGTCCACGGCCTGTTGTTCATCCTCGAACCACCAGCAGAACCACCCTCACCCGCAGCAGGAACTTCACCCTAATGACTTTCCAACCACTCATTTATCATCCTCCTCGGTCTACATGCCCGCCGAATCCATCTCAATGTCCCAGTACCACCAGCAGCACCAGCACCACTTTCACCCGGGTAACAGTGGTGGCGGGACGTTGCCTCGGTCATCGCACGGTCATCAGGGTCACCACCTCGCCTACGAGACCCACACGGGTGGGGGGACGCTAAAACGGGGAACATACCATCACAATGGGAACCACATTTTGGCGATTCCCGACTGCGTTTAGCCCGTCTCAAACGCCGTAATTTTCGGAGATGGCGACGACAAAGTAAGGGGCGGATTCGACCATAATTTATCCGGAGGAGAGTCAAGTATGAAATTGTATATGAATCAAGACGCCGTCGTGGTGGGTGAGTGGACAACATTTTTTATATAGGGGGAGAATGTTCCCAATTTTTGAGAGATTTACGTAAAACAAAGACATTTTAAGCTTTGTGAAAATTAGTGGAATTTTATGAAATTCGTCGATTAGGATTTTTTATAAAAAATTTCCGGAGAATGAACGGCAGAAAAACAATTTGTACCATATTAACGCCAAACTCAATCAAAGTAAATGTACAATTTTATAGTTTATAAATTAGATTTAGACTCATCCTGCTTCCTTTGTACAGCGTAGAACATAATTCCTTACAAATGGTGTAAACCAGTGTACGACTCAATCCTCAGCTAATTTCTAAAATGACATCAATTTCGTAATTATGGAGATCAATGAAACTTTAGATACTAAGGTTCAATTTATGTATTAGTTAGATGTAAGGTTAATTTTGGGCACTACAAAACTATCAATTTAAAAAAATAAGGAATTTGTTTTTGATGAAATTTAGATATTGTGAAAATCGCAAATAAATTAGCAAGTTGATTTATAATTAATAACAAAAAGTGGGTTACAAAAATCGGCTAATAATAAGTATTTATTTACTTTCCTCAGCTGATAGCATGCTGGACATCTCGCCCCCACCGGAAGGACCAGTCCCGCTACCGCCAAACATTCAGCGGGATCTGGCGGGAATAGTTTGTTGGCGGAATGAGGAGGAATTTTATCATCTCAGAAACCTCAAAATCCCATTACGCCTTGTTCCTTGAGCCCCTCGGCGTCCGCGACGAATACGAACACGACGAATTCCACGTCCTCAAACCCATCCCCGAACAGCGGGAGTACAATTTGGTCGGTGTTCTGAAAAGGAACATGACGCCAATGTGAACATGACGTTAAAACGAGGGTCCAGATTCAGGAGATATCATTCTGACTGCTCTGACTCTCTATCTGTACTTTTATAGCCTGAACTAAGTTCTAAATAACCGACGATAAGTACAAATATACATATTGTGATATCACCTAAATGCCTCGCTTCCCAACTAATTTTATTTACAAAACTGTTACATACATTTAGTCTTTGCATGATTAAACTCGATCTAATAAAACAAATATGAAATTTATAAATTTCATATTTATATGAAATTATTCTTTATTTATATATTCATATTTCATATTCATACTCGTGAAATTTATAAATTTATGACGTTTTCAGGAGTAAACTCGTAAAAATGAAATATACCCTGTAAAAATGATTTTGGAATAAAATGACAAATCCGTCACTATTTTACCCAATTACTGGCAGTTTCTGTTTTTTAATAGAAGATTATCAAGATGGGGAAATACGTATTTCGATACAACCTACAAAAAGTTAAATCCTATTTTCTAAATAATTTCTTGTCGTGGTTTAGCACGAATTATTTTATACTGACTTTACCAATTTACCAGAAAAACAATAAATACGTACATATGTCGACCGAGTTTGATCAAGTAGGGCCACAAATGGTGCCCTTCACATCTTTAAGAGTGCAATTTCTCCACATGTGGAATTGCATTGCATGTATCGGATTAGGTTATCGTGGAAAGATTTATGAGATTGGAGCCAATAGTCGACGGAGCAATGTTCTCTCATTCATGATCTAATTTCCATTTTACTTATACCATGCAATACTTACCTACATAAGATATATAATGTCTTGCAATAAAATAAATTGATCCTCGAAAGTGCATCGTTTTTAATCATTACGAGTTAAAAATTAAGACCTGGAGAAAATTTGAAACAAATTATGTACAGGGAATTTTACCACATTTGGCAAGCTATTTTTTACAATAAGGGTAACCAACCTGAAAAATATGAGATAGAAATGCAACAAAATTGAAAAATACAATAATAAGTAAAAAATTTGTGCTCGTTTTTAATATTTATAACATTTTAAATTCAAAACTGTCAAACTAAAACGCCAAAAAAATATAACAACGCGTATTCTTGCCGGTTTAAAAGCTGAAATGAGGGAATCGCATGACGTAATGGTAATCTAATAAATTTAGGATTTCTAGGTGATATTATATGAAGAAATGGCTTTCTAAAAATTAGAATATAAAATTGAAAAGCAATTATTACATCAAGATTACAAATCATTGCGTTATTATTATTGTGTGTCTTGATAAACATCCGGTCACGAGTTCGTCAAATCAGTAAATTTTTGTTTATCTGTTTATCTGTTTGTTTATCCCTAGATTTTAAATCTAGGGATACGTTTGGGATTTTTATATGAAATTGCAGCCTAGAAAATAAAATTATAAAGTTTACACTAAAGAAACTTTAAACATCATTGTGTTTATTCATTAATATCGTTTATCGTGGTATTTACAGAAACATCTTGTTATGAGATGAAAAAATTGATGGTTGTGCACCATGCATCCATCATTACAGTTTAAAAGTTAACACATGGAGAAAGTTTGCAAGAGAATAGAACAGAATGATTAATGTGAATTTTGAACAGATAAACTGAAATGGCGTCACAAAAATTTACTGATCTGACGAACTCGTGACCGGATGTTTATCAAGACACACAATAATAATAACGCAATGATTTGTAATCTTGATGTAATAATTGCTTTTCAATTTTATATTCTAATTTTTAGAAAGCCATTTCTTCATATAATATCACCTAGAAATCCTAAATTTATTAGATTACCATTACGTCATGCGATTCCCTCATTTCAGCTTTTAAACCGGCAAGAATACGCGTTGTTATATTTTTTTGGCGTTTTAGTTTGACAGTTTTGAATTTAAAATGTTATAAATATTAAAAACGAGCACAAATTTTTTACTTATTATTGTATTTTTCAATTTTGTTGCATTTCTATCTCATATTTTTCAGGTTGGTTACCCTTATTGTAAAAAATAGCTTGCCAAATGTGGTAAAATTCCCTGTACATAATTTGTTTCAAATTTTCTCCAGGTCTTAATTTTTAACTCGTAATGATTAAAAACGATGCACTTTCGAGGATCAATTTATTTTATTGCAAGACATTATATATCTTATGTAGGTAAGTATTGCATGGTACAAGTAAAATGGAAATTAGATCATGAATGAGAGAACATTGCTCCGTCGACTATTGGCTCCAATCTCATAAATCTTTCCACAATAATCTAATCCGATCCGTGCAATTCCACGCCTGCAGGAAGTGCACTCATAAAGATGTGGAGAGATAATTTTCTCTTGTCAAAGTCCTAGTTCGGAAAATCAGTATTAACAAATTGGTAATAAAATACGGCAAGAAATGGGAACAGATTGGTTGCCAAATCGGATTTAAATTTTGATAAGTTTTGGCGACGAAATAATTTATCAAGGAATATTCACAATTAAAATAGTAAATAGATAATATGCTGAAAGTTTCAATTTTAAGACCAAACTTTGGAATTTTCGCATTCATTTCATTTAAAAGAATTTTAGCAAAGACATATTTTATTGAAAAACTTTAAAACTTACAAAGTGTGAAAATTGTTATTTTTTAATTAGAGTAAACAGGGACTGATGGGAAAAATATGTATTGTAAAATCATAAAAAGGTAATAATTAGAGCTCAGAAAAGATATAAGGAAATTCAATTGATAAGAAGCAAGGCGAGACCGAATTTAAAATACAAAATTTGGCTACTAAATAATCTTAATTTCAATAAAGTTAAATGCATGAACTACATTTTCTACAAAAACAGTGCGGACATTTAGATATCTTGTTAATAATAAAGTATTACTGAAATGATAAACATTTACCGATTGATATTACCGCCTGATAATAAAACTAAACAAATCTGGCACTATATTTTTAAGAGTGCGAAACATATGTGGGATGCAGTGCATTTAACATATTCCAATCCAAACCACTGGTAGAAGCACTTTGATAATTGCTGCGAGAATCTAGTCGACATCATTTGTGCTCAACTTTCACTTTAATCACTGCCTCTACGCGGAGAAAGCCCCACGTTTGGGAAGATCTGCCTAACTTTAAAGTGATCACGAGGGACTTATTATTCCTATAGATGGATTCCTATAGAGACCTTGGTAACATTATAAAATCCGCAAATTCTGTAAACTTTTACAAAATTTCACAAAAGTTTCTAAGGAAAATTATCTCACGTATTTTTGTTATCTTACCCAGGTCAAGAGAGTTTTTTTCATTTCGTAGAAGTTTGCAAAATTAGTTTACAAAATTTATGGATTACAGAGACAAGGTGCACAGAAGTAACGTACGTGCGTAATTCTTCACAACTACACCCCATTTGTTCCCATGTACATTTTAGAAAATTAAAATATGCAGGATTTTGTCCACAGAAAGTATTCTCTCGAAATCTGTCGAATTTTGGACGTTCTTTCAACAGCAAAATTTGGCGACTTCGATACAAAAATAATATAACTCAAACAGAACATGAAATACAATTGTGTACATTGAATTGTAAAAATCATTTAATCATATCATCAGAACATAACAGATCGATCATAACTGAACTGGTAAAAATATGTAATCTAATCCATAAATAATTTTTCTAGCAAACAACTTCATCTGACGCATGAGTAAACTAATTTAATCAAATCACAAAATTCTTATTGGCTGTAAAACTATACAAATCGTGTCGATTTTGAAAATTTCTATTCGGTAAAAATATTTATGATAGTAATGAGTCAATTTCAACGACGGAACCCTGTGCTTTCTCCGACATGCTTAAATCACCGATGTCAAGACAACAATCATTCTCTTCGGCAAGCTGATGCACTTCTTTCTTCGGCTTCTTGCACTAAAATTTCAACCTAAATTGCTGATCCGTCGAGTCACCCAGAAATCGACGACGACTAAAAGTTATCACTCTTGCAATAATTGCTCTCTCGTCCCGTGCGTGGCGACGGATGAGATCGTAGCAAGCAATTAAAATCGTGAAGAAGCAAGAATTATCGTTTCTTGGACCATTTAAAATTTAACCACGCGAATACTGCGTGATTAGAATCTGAATTAGTTTGAGAGGTTGGTAGATACAGAGAAAAGTTAGTTTTATACGGGATGCAAAGTAAGAAAATAATGAGAGGAAATTAACTTGGACTTATGTGACGTAGTAAAATCCAAGCTATTAAAATCGACCCATTCGCAGAGTGGTATTTTTGCTGGGGCATGACTATTGATAAATTGCCGGATTTTGGGCAAGGCATAAATGTACTGAACATTTGACCCAATCGAGCATCAATTTGAACAAATGACGGCCACGTGACATAATACATAGTGGCGAATAGTGTCTGCATAAAATTACTCCTAATTAGTGTTCCGTGAATAATTTTGCATTTTTGCGCAGTCATTTTTAACCATTATTTGCCAGGCATTGAGAAAATTTACGTGGATGATTGTTATACACACATTTTGTAAACTTTACAGAAATGCTTATATAATAAACAGAGCAGGGATTTCTCCAAGCTTGATTTATTCGACCATAAGAATTCAGGTAAATTGCGTAATTTATCAATTTATGTAACCCATAAATTTAAGAAGTAATCTTATTTTTAAAAATGCAATTTTTTCGGCTTATTACCGTTACCAGAAACAATGATCAATTGCCCAGCTTTTGATCCATATCTAAAAATAATATTTTTATTATTACATTATTAAACTAACGATGTTGGTATTGCAGTTTAACAATGAATTGGATATCAATTTTGAATTTACCAACCCGACTACAAAGTTTGCAAGGCTACCTTTCCAATTATTAAATTAGTTATGCAAAATTTCCCAGAAAATTTGTACGAACTAAATTTTGACTAAAGCTTAAGTTCGATGGGTGTGGTGCGTACGGTGGAATCGAATAGTAGTCATTTGCACCCACTTCACTTATTTTTACCCCCGCGGATAAAATCAGGCGATTTGGAGGACGAGGAAAGCGGATCTGTCTGTTCGATGGGCAGGTGTAAATTAGAAAATGGGTGATTTTCACTTACTTGTCTTCTACCTGAGTGAGCACAAAGCAGTGGAATTCTATGGACCAAGGGCCATGCAGACGTGGTGTCGACTTTGTCACCACATTTTTATTCACAGCGTAAAGTAATTTCAAAGAAA